GACCTCCAAGGTCCCTTCCAACTTTATTATTATTATTATTAAAATGACAGGGAGATCCCATTTTCCTCTTGAATGTGTATTTACCTCCCAGCCAGCCCAGAGCCCAAGGACCTCCTGGTGGTCTCCCATCCAGCACTGCCGAGCTGTCTTAGAGTGGCCAAAGCTGGCCAGGTGTGGCCTCTTAGCTGAGACAAGCACAGTGAAAGGGAGGGTCTCTCTCTGGGTCTGGCAAGATGGGGTTAAGGCAAGTCAGGAGTCCAGTTAAAACTCAGGAGCTTCTCAGAGAAAAACTGCAAAGAGGGAAAGGGTTTGTGCTAAGTGACCGAGAGTCTTTTTGGAGATGGGCAGGATTAACAAATTCAGGAAATAAATAGAAACATGGAATAAATATCCTACAGCACAGCAGACAGATGCCTGGGGAAAAGAAGGGCATTTGCTAATAATTTTGAAAACCCTTTTTGTAAGGAACAAAAATGGTAATGGGAAAATTAATATTTTTGTGTTGGTTATTAGCTGGTTTTAAAATTAAGAGCTGAAAGACAAAGATGGCAAACTAAATATGAACATGGGAGAGCAAATAAAATTGATGGGGGAAAAGTGTTTTGAAGAAATGAGGGAACAGGAAGAAACTTGAGCATTATTTAAACAAATACAAATTGTATGTCAAAATAATTATGTTAAGGCGTGGGATGAAATCAAGAAGGATGTGTTAAGATGTGGAAATTACAACTGTTATCGTTGGGGAGAATTTCTGTGATTAAAAATGAATGTATTATCTACTTTCATGATGTTTCTGTTTTAAGCAATACCTCTCTAAATAATAGGTGCATCCCTTAAGCAATCTAGGTTTGTATGCCGAGGGAAAAACCAGGGGTTGAATTTAAAACTCTTCAGGATGCAAAGAAAAGAGGATAACTGATTGGGAAATTCTCCTTTGCAGCCTGTTCGGTTTGGACAAAAAGAATGAGTTTTGCTGAGAAATAAGAAAATTTAAAAATAAGAAGAGCAGGAGCTGAAGTTTGGGTGGCTTGGTTTTTATGTGGTACAACCTCAACAATCCTCGTGATCGAAGTGATGCATTGAGAATACGGAAGGGATATAAACCCGGAGGAGGGTGCCCGAGAAAACCCTGGCAGAGGAAGGCCATGTATGGGAGAGGAAAAGAGCAGGAAAAGAGAAACGGTCACGTATGGAGAGTTGTTAGAAAAAAGGAAGGTGGGAGAATACAAGGGGAAATCAGGAGATCAGCAGAGGGATTTAGTTTCTCACAGTTTTTCTCTGTAGAGTCGAGAGAAAGATTGAAAGTGGACAAAAGGAACACTTGGAATTAAACACAACCTCCTACTGGGAGACAGAATTTGAAACCGAACTCCTGTATGTGCAAATGATGAACATGAAATGGCTAAAAAGTATCAGCTTTTTCTAAAAACTGAAATGGACAAAAAACAAGTTAAAGAGTGTGCAGCTAGTCCTCGACTTGCAACAGTTCATTTAGTGACCGTTCAAAGTTACAACG